CGGGAAGGGCCAAGCCGCAGGGAATTTTTTTGTCACAATGCGCGCACCAGGCCCCCCTCGCGACAATTTTGACGTGCAGCCACCGTTCGATGCGCTCCCCCGCCGACGGACCGGAAAGCACAAACTGCCCCCCCGCAACGCCTCAGACCCCCCTCGACCGGGGCCCGTGAACCCGATGACACGAACACGAGGGGCCCTTTTTCCGATGACGTCCAGGAAGGGCCAAGCCGCAGGGAATTTTTTTGTCACAATGCGCGCACCAGGCCCCCCTCGCGACAATTTTGACGTGCAGCCACCGTTCGATGTGCAGATCGAGCAGTCGCGGCGGCGTGCAGACCCTGCACGGAAATCCGAAACGGAAGGCCCGAGGGGGCCTTCTGTCCCGCGCGCCTACAAACACGATAGGCGCCCTGGGCATTGACGATGCGTTTTGCGTTTTTTGATGGGGAGATGCTGCCCGACGGAAACCTCGCACCGCCACTGTTGTCAACAACGGTGCCCCGCACAGCTGGAGCGCCATAGCTGGCATAGCCATTCTTCAACGCGCTCGTTTCTTGGCACCGACGCACCCCGCATGCCCTCACATGTCCCTCCGCCTGCCAAGTCGCTGTCCACGTCATATTCGACGTTGCTACTGCTCTCCTTACTCGAAAGGCGCGACCATCACCCCACGCAGCACCCTCGCAAATGCAAAGCACACACCCAAAGGTCGACAGCGTGCCATCACGTTTAACGCCGGGGTTCACGCTCATCTCAACTCGACAGTTTCACACGGTGAGTGCGCACGCAGTTGGGACATATGTTTGCATGTGCGCACGTGTTGGCGGGTTTTGTGATGATATGCTCGCGTAGATCGAAAGAGGTCGTGTCTGCATGTGTGCCGGTGGGCGTGTGTGTGTGTGTGTTTGTGCGCGAATGTGTGCTTGTGCGTGCTTCATTATTTTTGTGTGTGTTCGAGTGCGTGTTCCATTGTGTATGAGTTCGTATGAAGTGTGTGCCACACGCGCGAGGCAGGATCGTGCGCGTGTCTGTGCTTGAGGGGCGTATGTGTGTGGGCGCCGTGCGGCGGCGTGTGTGTGTGTGTGTGTGTGTGTGTGTGTGTGTGTGTGTGTGTGTGTGTGTGTGTG